AGTATGCGGACGACATTGGCTTCATATGTGACAGCGCTCAAACGTGTCAGGCTGCCCTGGACCGATTAGCACTGGCTGTCAATCATTTTGGGCTATGCTTTACTCCATCGAGATGCAAAGTTCTCCAAGATTGGCAAGGACCCACCCCTGCGCTGACCCTTGGTGGTGATCAGCTAGAAGTCGTTCAGGAATTTAAGTACTTGGGCAGCTATATTAGCGCCCGTTGCGTCGAAGCTGAGATTACCAATTGTATAGCAAAAGCTCGAGGTGCTTTTTCCAATCTCCGCTACCTGTGGCGCAGACGCGACCTCACTCTCGCACTGAAGGGCAGAAGGTATAATGCAGCCGTCCTTTCAACCCTCTTATACGGCTGTGAAACCTTGCTCATCAGGTCAACAGACATAAAGAGGCTAGCCACGTTCGATCATCCCTGCCTCCGCAGCTTAGCTCATGTCTGGTGGGAGCACCGCGTGAGCAATGAGCGTGTTCGGCGTCGCGTATTTGGTGCATGAAGAGCTAGTGAGCCGCTCAGCACCATTGTATCAGGCACCGGGCTCCGATGGCTGGGCCACGTGTTGCGCATGCCAGCGCACCTACTCCCGCGACGTACATTGTTTGCGCGCCGGGGGTGCGATTGTAAGAGGAGGAGGCCAAGCGATGACTTGGTCGAGAGAAATGAAAACCGTCACTTCGAAGTTGGCGTCGGTTGGTGCATCCTAACTGCCTGGCTGGAGTCCTAAGGACGATGAACACGTATGGTTGGACACACTTGGTGATATGGCTAGGAGCCAGCCCTAATGGCATTTGTGCTGTGAGTTCATTTGTCCACCCGCCTCCTTCTCAGCCTCCCCTCTCCAATCACGATCTCATCCGTTAGGCATAATATAACTCTCTTTTTGCTGCATGATACCCGGCTGTTAGCTCTCAGGAACGATGTTCAGCCGTTACTGGGGACTTAGCCTGCGTGCCTATTACTTTTTTCTTGTCTTGTGTATTGCGGAACAATAGCTGCAGTTAACGTGTATAATGACGATGTCATTTGGATAGCCATTGGTCCTCTCCATTCCAGATGGTCCAAAAAAATCTGGCGACTTTGCGGTGAGTACCGGGACGTAAACAAGCTTACGGTCCCCAACAGATACCCTGTCCCACGTATGTAGGACTTCACTGCATGCGTCGCAGGTAAGACGGTCTTCAGCAAGATCGATCTTGTTCGAGACTCATATCAAATACATGTGAAGGAGAAAGACATATCTAGGACAGCCGTCATTACCCCCTGCCGCTTGTTCGAATTTTTGAGAATGCCTTTCGGATTGTGCAAAGCCGCATAAACATTTCAGTGCTTCACCCACGATGTCACCCGTGACCTAGACTTTGCCTATCACTACCCTGACGACATTCTAGTGGCCAGTTCGTCCGACGAAGAGCACCTAGCCCATCTTCAGTCTCTTTTCGAGCAGTTGACCCAACACAGCGCCACCACCAATCCGAATAAGTGCGACGCTTCATCCCCCTTGCGCTCAACTCATGCAGCCTCTTACTGGCCTACTCAGAAAAACGAACGTAAGTTTGCTTTCCCCCACACAACACACGGCTTTCACTGAGCTTAAGGATGCTGTCTCCAACATAGCTCTTCTCGCTCACTCCGAACCATCTGCTCCCCTTTCTCAGAAAACTGACGCTTCAGACGTTGCGGTAGGAGCTGTTCTCCAACAACACGTTGATGGGCGGTGGCAACCACTCGGTTTCCTCTCCAAACATCTGCAACCAGCGGAATCCCGCTGCAGCACGGTTAGTAGAGAACTGCTTACCATCGAGTTAGCTATCCATCACTTCCGACACACATTAGAAGGTCGGGCTTTCACGGTCTACACTGACCACAAGCCTCTCATTTTTGCCTTCAACTCATCTTCTGACAAATATTCACCACGGGAAACTAGACACCTAGACTTTGTCACACAGTTCACCGCTGATATACGCCATGTCTCTGGTGTTGACAATCCCGTCGCTGATGTTCTCTTTCTCGCGTCAACCTCACTCTTCACTCTTTGTCTACTGTCGACCTCGCCGCCATGGCATAGGCTCAGGCCCAAGACGAAGACCCCCAACGCACCCTGCGATCCACTTCACTGTATGTGCAACCCGTACCCCTTCAAAGTACGGACGGAACTATCCTTTGTGACACTTCCACAGGTTGTCCTAGACCCCTCGTGTCCGCCTCTTTCAGACGCACAGTCTTCGACACTCTTCACTCACTGTCTCATCCTGGTACTCGGGCATCTTTAAAACTGGTCACCGAGTGTTTCTTTTGGGCAAGTGTAAACAAAGATGTCCGTAACTGTGGTCGAGCTTGTCTTCACTGCCAGCGCTCCAAGATGCATCGACACACCCGTAGTCTTCTCGGCTCATTCCCTGTGCTGGATTCGCAGTTCTCTCATGTACACTTAGGCTTGGTAGGATCCTTACCTCCCTCTCGCGGATCCGTATACATACTGACATGTGTCGACTAATTCGCTAGATGGCCAGAAGCCATCCCTGTATCAGACTAAACGACCGAAACAGTCATTCGTGCGTATTGGACTGTTGGGTGTCCCACTACGGACGCCCATCTACCATCACTACCGACCGTGGAATGCCTTTCGAATCCTTGCGATTCGATACGTTCTGCAACTTCTTAGGCTGCCGCCGTATCCACGACGGCATATCACTCAGCGGCGAATCGCCTAGTCGAACGCTTTCATCGACAACTTAAGTCACCTCTCTGTGCCACTTTTGACCTGACTGAAGCGAAAACATTCCGTTAGTACTCCTAGGTATCCGCAGCAGTATCAAAGCTGACCTGCAGAGCCGATCTACAGAACAACCCTTAAGCTGCCAGGAGAGTTCATTTCGTCCCCCACACCATCGTGTATGCCACCGTCAAACTTTGCAGCCTCCCTTTCTCAGCGCATGCGCTCGCTGCGCACGATCCCTCCCCGTAAGAAGACCAGAGATGTGCAAATGCACAGTGTACTCTCTACCTGCACTCACGTTTTCGTCCGCACAGACGCAGTGCGTCGTCCCCCTCAGTCTCGCTACATCGGCCCCTTCAGAGTTTTCCAACGAACTCCTAAGCATTTTACCTTAGACCATAATGGTCACTGGACAACGGGGTCCATCGATCGTCCTAAGGTGGCATTTTTCAAAGATCCGCCTGCAAGATTACCTGATACAGCCGCAAAAGTAAACTCACCCGAAGCTGCAGCAACCGCACCAGGCGCCCTAGACCCCTATTACCCTTGATCCTTCGCCAACCCATCCCCAACCGCAGGCAACTGACCGACGTGGTAGACAGGTCAAACGTCCAATCCGCTTTTCAGATTTTGTTAACGTTTGCTATATTCCTTGACATACGTATTTTCCATCTTTCATAGTAAGCGTGTGTTTCACTCACAAAGGTTATGCAAAAAACCTAAAACCCTTTTTTACAGAAACAAAACAAACAAAATGTGTACATATTTTTGTCTCATATCCTTGACTCGTTATCCATACGGCATCACGTCGCCTATCCCGACCACGTTCCACCCTCTCCACTTTACATTCCAGAACTAGTCCCCTGAGGAATCGCGGAATCCCCTGACCCACCTGCCCGTAGCCTCCGGCCCCATGATCCTGACTCCAAGCGACCGCGACTCCCCACTACCGGTGCGACAACGACTGGTCTGGCCCCAAAGACAATGTCCAGGATCCTTCTGAGACGAGGATCGTTTTGGTCGTGGACTCGGAGTGCGGTGGGGGGAGTGACACCTACCAGGCGCACTGTCAAACCGCAGCGGATGAAATGTCTTGTCGGCCCTTTCTCTGGACTAGCGATTTTTGCTGTCCGACCATCCCGTCCAGACGACCCACCGATGATGCACTCCAATAAACACGAAGTAATAAATAGCAAACAAAGAAGCCAGGACCCAACAAACTCCCTGCGCGCCCTCACTGTCCGCATGCGCCTACTGCAACTACTACTCTACCTTCCCATCCTCACTTTGTTCCCCCACTTGACATCTCTATCGAAGGCTTCCTTCATTCAGACTTCTAGGGAGAGACCCCTGTAGTGAACATGAAACATTTACGTTTTCAGTATTTTGTGACATTGGATTTTATTCTTGTTTGTATCTTCCGATCGTCCACCTGTTTTACTGACGGCACGTCTGGTTCCCTTTCGAACTCTCTGTGATTCGTACGTTACCTTGTTGTGCACTTGCTAATTTACTCCTAGTTCATTGCAGCTGTTTACAATACATGTTAGGCCATGCTACGTACTCATTTCTGAATAACTGGTATCCGTATTGGTCCCTACTTGTTCTCTTCGTAACCAGTACCTAAGTTCCGCTCTGCAAGCTCCTCCACACTAAGCCACTTCAAAGTCAGGCGGTTTTCGTTTTCCGTCTCTCGGTTGCGATCATCATTCGTATCAGACAATCTGATTTATCAGTGCGTGTATTCTGCCACACTGGAGTTATCGCTCTCCTGTGATTTCTCCAGGCATATTGTTAAAGCAGGTCAAGCTGCTTGACGGGTCGATGAAGCGCATGTCTTGCAGTAGCGGGATTCCAAAGCCAACTTTAGCTCAAACATTTGTATCTACCTATTATTTCTAGGACAAAGCTTGCTTCGAAAACACTCATCGATATCAGCCAACCTTTGCATAGTGCACTGTGTAACTGTATAGCCACTTCATCGACCAGACGAAAATACAGAGCAATATATGTTCACATGCGGGCTTACGGTTTGTCAGTCGTTCTATCTATCTAAATTTTTGCTTGGCCAGAACTACCCAGTAAATTTTATCAGGGAGGTAATGTTATTCGTTGGATTGTTTTGCTAATATCACACTATTTTTTTCTATGTCGATGGGATGTTTCACGGCTACCCTATGAGAAACCCGCAACCAACTGTACTGTCCTAAGCTCGATATTACTATTGATATAGGCAACACCCTGTCCAGAAACCAAACGACAAAAACGTTGATAAGAACCAAATATCATTGCAATAACCATAAAAAGCGTACAAACAATTGCTGTCCATGATCAGTCCGTAAATCATCTCATGTAGGAACTATAGAGATTAATTAAAAGTTCTGAGAAACTTACGGCAACTTGGTCTTCATAAATATTCTCAGAGTAATGAAAGATACCAAAATACAACTGATACCGAAAGCGATTAAGATAACTCGGTTAAGTTTCGAGATCCGTGCTTCATTTGCTCTGTCCACTACCATGAAACCGATGCTACCAAGTGTGAACATGAAACTTGCGGCCAATCCCTCCAGTATGTACTGTCCATTCATTCTCCAGGCCATTATGGCAACCTAAATGTGCAGAGGAGTTAGACGACAGTAAGAGAATACGAACTGGTCGTTGATTTCCTCTCGCATCGGTTTCCGATCCCATGCTTGGGGGGCCCACGATCATATCATAAACAACTCCTATAAAAACGGAATAATTATAACCGAGTGTGAAAGTCTCATTTGCAGTTATCTTCATTACTAACACCGATTCTACATGGGTATCGTGTGGTGAAGATCGGTTAGTAAACACGTCCTAGTCGGAAGAGTATGTACTAAAAAGACAACGCAGTCTTGATAAGCTCACGTCATCGCTAACAGTATGGAACTTAACGCGGTGCCATAGTCTGCTGATCTCAGGGAGGTAACTAGAAATTTACTCTTCAAAGCCACTCACACAAATAGACCTATGATAAAAAGTCGGACTTAATCCATCTCAATACCCTCAGTTAGGATTAACTGAGTAACTATGAAAGTGCGGTGGATCCAGTTGCCACGACACACATCACCAGAATAACAATAAATAGCGACGGTAAGAATATGAGGTCGAACGCAAATAAGATATAAAGAAAATGGAATCAAGACAGAAGTGCACAAAACTAATAGGAATGGAACGAAAATAAACAGCCAGGTGTAAGAAACCGAATGTAGGAATGCCAATGATTGCGCGACAGCGTCATGCACGAAGATCGTACACACTAGCCTGGCAAGTCGAGTGACGTGCCGGAAGGTTTCTTGTCAAAAACCAACTGGCGGACCTCATATTGCATACACAATGTTCCTACCAGACGTGAGCAATACACCACAAGCACCGGTGACAAAATGCAGCAAAGTGTTGAGTGTCTTCACTGCGAACTGGCAGGGTGTCTGATCCAAACAGTAACACCAGTTTTATCACAGCGTTACACATCCTACCTTTCACCGATAGGTTGTCGTCCTGTCGTCTCCATAGATGGCTGAGTCTCTGGAAAGCCACACGAGCCTTGCTGATACGCGAAGTAACCTCTTCAGTGATGTAACCACCAGAGGTGACACAGCTAATTCACGAATTCCAGCTGTTGTTCGTTGGGACCTAGAACCTGTAGTGCATCGGTCCAGTCCTGTAACAATACCTTTGACAATACATACGAGACCGAACTGCGTTAACGGATCTTCGACCATTCGGCTCGGACTCGGAAAAAGATGGCTATGTTTCACATGCCTTAGTTCGCTATTTACGCCGTCAGTATTGTACACAAAAGATGTCAATCGTACACCGGTTTTGTGTTGCTACCACGCAAATGATTGCGGTTGCACAAGACCAGATCACTAACAAGGAGACCAAACTTAAGCAGAGGCGCGTAGGTGGTAAGTGTGACGCTCGACACAATACACCAAGGCTAACTAAGAGACCAGCCGTACAGAGCTTATTGAATAGTTGCAAGTAGACTGTTCAATTTGAAACAACAAATGGGTCAACAAACATCATCTAAAGAAGCGATATTCGGAGGCCAGTCCTTACTAGCAGCAGGAAAATCCTTATGTGGTAAGTCTGATCGCCAACATGGATATTGGGTCTCTTCACAGTCTCTGGAACTTATAGATGCTCGCCGGCATATTTCGGCTGGAAGCGAACAAATGAAACTCGCAAAGAGCTCCGGGCAAAACTCCGTGCTAGCCTGAAGAGAGACCGCGAATCCTGGTGGTCTCATCGTACATCAGAAATGGAAATGGCCGCTGCCTTTCGTAACCATCGTAAGTTATTCCGGCTGATACGGGAAACGGGCAGTAGAAGACCTGGTGTTAGGGAAACTATACGTGACGAGAGTGGACAGCCTGTCCACAACTTGTCAAAACGCTACGAGCGTTAAGCTGAGCATTTTGAAAGGCAATTTAATCGGTCGGAATTGTTAGATTCCTCGCCGGCCACTGATCGCCCCGCTCCTTGGGCTGTCCCTTTGGGTCCACCCTCTTGCTCAGAAGTCGAACGTGAGACCGCACTGCTAAATAAAGCCGCGGGACGAGACGATCTACCTCCAGCCCTCTTCAAATTCGCGGAACCTGCTCTTGTAGATGATTTATACGAGTTAATAGTCAAGTTGTGGGAGCAGGAAACAGTCCTAACTGACTGGAGCCACTCCGTCATAGTTCCAATTTTCAAGGGAGGCTCACGATCGGAATGCGGCAGCCATAGAGGCATCAGTCTGATCTCCATCGCCTCCAAATTACTTGCCTGTCATCCTTCACAGACTGACTGGCATCCGGGAAAGCCATATTCGTGAAGAGCAAGCCGGGTTTCGTCGAGGTCATGGCTGCATTGACCACATCTTCACTTTGCGTCAGTTGTTGGAACACCGACACCTACATTGGCGGCCCACCGTTGTCCTGTTCCTTGATATCAAAGGTGCATTCGATTCAGTGAATAGACGTGCACTTTGGGACTGTCTACTCTGGAAAGGTGTACCTCAGAAATATGTAAATATTATCCGAGCATTATACGTGCGTAGCTCACGCAGAGTGAGGGCTTACGGCAACCTGTCGTCGCCCTTTAATATCTCCGGCGGTGTGAGACAAAGATGCCCGCTGTCACCTTTCCTCTTCAACTTCGCTATTGACGAAGTCATGGAAATCGCGTTCACAGGACACAACTTAGGTGTGGATCTGCTCCCAGGAGAACGACTTCTTGACTTGGAGTATGCTGATGATATTGCCCTCATCTGTGACAGCTCCCAGACGTGCCAAACGGCACTGGACTGATTAGCACTGGTTGTCAGCCGCTTCGGGCTTTGCTTTGCACCATCGAAGTGCACAGCGTTCCTCCAAGATGCCTCCTTCGCTGACCCTTAGTAGGGATCAGCTAGAAGTCTTTCAAAAATTCAACTATCTGGGAAGTTGTATCAGCGCCCGTGGGATTGAATATGAGATCACGAACCGTATAGAAAAAACTCGAGGCGCCTTTGCTAACCTTCGCCACTTAGGGTGCCGGCGCGACATCACTCTCGCCCTGAAGAATGGAGTGTACAATGCAGCGGTACGTTCGACCCTACTGTACGGTTGTGAAACCTGACCCCTTAGATCAGCGGACATAAAGAGGCTAGTCACGTTCGACCACCGGTGCCTTCGCAATTTAGCTCACATCTGGTGGGAACACCGCGTGTGCAACGAGCGTGTTCGACGCCTTGTTTACGGTCCAGGAAAAAGGCATGAACCGCTCAGCACCGTCATTTCACGCACCAGGCTCCGATAGCTCGGCCATGTGTTACGAATGCCAGCCCACCGACTCCCGCAACGTGCGTTGTTTGTGCGCCGGGGATGTGGATGGAAGAAGAGGAGAGGTGGTCAAACGATGACTTGGTCGAGAGGAATGAAGGCCCTCACTTCGAAGCTGGCCTCAGTTGGAGTGTCTCGGCCCCCTAGTTGGGGTCCGAAAGACGATCAACACGTTTGGCTGGATACACTTGTTGATATGGCTAGGAGCCGACCTCAGTAGCGTTCGTGCTGTGAGTTTCTTTGTACCACCCCATCCCTCTTAGCCTCCCCTCCAAGCACGATCTCATTATTTGGCATTTTATAATTTTGCATGGTAAATTATTTTGTTCTGCTGCATAATAGCCGGCTGGTAGCTTACCGGAACGATGCCCATCCGTTACCGGTAGCTCAACTGGCTTGCACCTGTTGCATTTTATTCCCTTTTTCTTTTAGGTATTACGGCAGAGTAGCTGAGGTGTTTCCCACCTCTAGCTAACGTGTATAGGGTGTGTGCGGAGGCCAGTCGAAAAGGATTCCACATGACGGTTCGCATACCTCGTTCACGTAACGGTATGTATTGGGATTGGGAACGGTTAGATGTACGCTGAAATTGATCATTTTTCGAGAACCAAACGATGTAAGAGCTGTTTCGGGGTTACCGAGGAAATGGATCTACTAATCACTTACCGGCGAAAGTATTCAACAAGACGAGGTTCATCTCGCTGAACGATGGACGACCCTATGCTCCAATAGTCCATGTTATTATCGACTACACATGGCGGGCGTCATCAAAAAACTGGTGACGGTACGGAAACAACATGCCGAGATTCCGATCATGTCTCAATGCTCACCCACACGGCGTTCATCTTCCCAGAACCCAAATTTGAGGTTTGTTGCTCATCACCCGATGCCGTGGAGCTGCAAGACAACGGCACGTCCTCAAAAATGCAGTCCTCATAATGCTCTCAGTATGGGGATAACTGCGAACATACTTAGCTTGTCCGTGAGTGAAACAAGCTAGCAGCCAAGAACAACCAACGGTAACATATTGGGACTTGCTCGCTTTCCCACCAAAAACATGACAGTTAGCTGTTTTTGACCGCATTTGGTTGATAAGACGCAGACACTTTGATTTTGAATGCTCACAGAAAGGAATTTATGATTTACATGTGGCCCTTCCTTTCACTCCTATTATTAGTCATTTCTCTGGTCCACGGTGGTTATACAGTAGCAAATCACCATTTCAAATGCCCTGCTGACTGATGACAATGGGGTGATCGACCATAAAGGTTCGTGGGACATTTTTCCAAGGTTAATTGTGGTCAGCAATAGGGTTACCGACCATTCAATTCTGGGACAAAAGTTTGGTTCCTAACGGAAGATGGCACGACAATCTTAATGGCACCCGACACCTGAGTGAACTTTCAATCGAAAAAACAGACGCTATTTCGTTGCTAACAATCGCGCAGTATGGCAGTGATCTCACCGACCTACGAAACGCTTCCCGGTGCATGCGCGCTAACACGCAAACTAGTTGAATGTCCTAAGCAAGCACTGCTTTAAGGTCATATCATTCAGGACTTGTTTTCAAGCTTCAGCGACCCATTACCAGTTGATCTCCCTTGCTCTGCTGGCTTGATCTTTATGGTGCGAATTTCAGAAAGGATCCACTAAGTCAACCCTTTTCGTTACTGTGATGGTAGGTGGTAGATCAGGTGACTGGAATCGACACCGGACCAAGGGATGGGATGCCGATGAGAAATCGCACACGAGAGCTGATCACAGTCGTTCGGTGCAGTCGCGACGAAATCCATCTAGCTCAACAAAAGTAAAGTGCAGCATTCCCGCAGGTGAGGGCGAACACGATTGGTATGGAGAAAAACGAGCAGATAGTACACAGGTATTAACAGAGC